ATGTGTGTTGTCTGGGTGTCTCAAACATGGGAATCAGTTGTCTGGATGTCTAAAACATGGGCATCAGTTGTCTGGGTGTCTAAAACATGGGCATCAGTTGTCTGGTTGTCTAAACATGGGCATCAGTTGTATGGATGTCTAAACATGGGCATCAGGTGACATCAATGGGGAACTTGTGTTGGATGTTTAAACAGTTTTGAAATAAATGTGTGGATATTGTTTATTTTGAGGCAGACTCTGGAATGAAAACATTGATAGTTTGTGTAAAATTTAGTGTTATAGGTTTTGTTCATGAGCAGCTGGCCAAATTCAGGAAGTCATCTGTTTAAAATAAATTGCATTTTGACCTTAAATGGATCAGTCTGTCCAAATTCCCGAATTGGTTATCGCCGATCACTTAATGGATTGTTCGGTAGTAACACCAGCCGGATACTATTAATACATATAGTTTTTGTACCTGAGGGAGAACTCAGATGAGCTGAATCAGACAATCAATAACTAACCACAGGTCACAATGGCAAACATACCCTTCCGTTAATAAATTCAAACTCTTTTTTTATTCAAGCCATTTAAAGTCCAAATAAAATTCAATGACCAGTAGAATAAATCTATTTCGTCTTGTAGTTGTATTAAAGTAAACATTAATGGGCTTAATCCATCTTGGGTAAGGTTTCCAAGGCAACAGGCAGGCAGAATTCCGTTAGACAGGGGATGAGTCATCGTCGCCTGTTCTAGGAAAGCACGTTCTAGCCGGTGTGTAATTATCATGGTGTAGAGAGAGGGCCGGCTATTCACGTGTCAGGAGATGGAGGCCAAGGAATCAAGATTCGTCAATACACCAAGACCCACCACTTGGTTTGCATTCTTCTACTGTCTTTATAGCTTTCATTATGTTTCACTAACTGTGTTAAATCATTTCTGTATTTATTAGCTCATAGACCAGCTTTATTTTCCAGTGAACACCCTTTATGGGTAATCAATGTTTATCATGATGTAAGTTTACTGTAGATATGTTATCTGTGATGGGAAGATGGTGATATAGATGTCATGAATGGGTAGATAAAGAGATGTAGATATCATGAATGGGTAGATAAAGAGATGTTGATATCATGAATGGGTATATACAGAGATGTAGATATCATGAATGGGTATATACAGAGATGTAGATATCATGAATGGGTATATACAGATATTTAGATATCATGAATAGGTATATACAGAGATGTAGATATCATGATTGGGTATATACAGTTATGTAGATATCATGAATGGGTATATACAGAGATGTAGATATCATGAATGGGTAGATACAGAGATGTAGATATCATGACTGGGTATATAAAGAGATTGAGATATCATGATTGGGTATATACAGAGATGTAGATATCATGAATGAGTATATACAGAGGTGTAGACAACTTGAATGGGTGGATACAGAGATGTAGATATCATGAATTGGTAGTTACAGTGTGGAGATATCATTAATTGATAGATACAGTGTGAAGATATCATGAATTGGTAGTTACAGTGTTGAGATATCATGAATTGGTAGTTACAGCGTGGAGATATCATTAATTGATAGATACAGTGTGGAGATATCATGAATTGATAGATACAGTGTGGAGATATCATGAATTGATAGTTACAGTGTGGAGATATCATGAATGGGTAGATACAGTGTTGAGATATCATGAATGGATAGGTACAGTGTTGAGATATCATGAATTGATAGATACAGTGTGGAGATATCATGAATGGATAGATACAGTATGGAGATATCATGAATGGATAGATACAGTGTGGAGATATCATGAATGGGTATAGATACAGTGTGGAGATATCATGAATTGATAGATACAGTGTGTAGATATCATGAATGGGTTGATACAGTGTGGAGATATCGTGAATTGATAGATACAATGTGGAGATATCATGTAATGATAGATACAGTGTGAAGATATCAATTCATGATATATCCACACTGTATCTATTAATTCATGATATCTCCATACAGTGTGGAGATATCATGAATGGGTAGATACAGTGTGGAGATATCATGAATGGATAGATACAGTGTGGACATATCATGAATTGATAGATACAGTGTGAAGATATCATGAATTGATAGGTACAGTGTGGAGATATCGTGAATTGATAGATACAGTGTGAAGATATCATGAATGGATAGATACAGTATGGAGATATCATGAATGGATAGATACAGTGTGGAGATATCATGAATGGATAGATACAGTATGGAGAAATCATGAATTGAAAGATACAGTGTGGAGATATCATGAATGAATAGTTACAGTGTGGAGATATCATGAATGGGTATAGATACAGTGTGGAGATATCATGAATTGATAGATACAGTGTGGAGATATCATGAATGAATAGTTACAGTGTGGAGATATCATGAAGGGGTAGATACAGTGTGGAGATATCATGAATGGATAGATACAGTATGGAGATATCGTGAATTGATAGGTACAGTGTGGAGATATCATGAATTGATAGATACAGTGTGGAGATATCATGAATCGATAGATACAGTGTGAAGATATCATGAATTGATAGGTACAGTGTGGAGATATCATGAATTGAAAGATACAGAGTGGAGATATCATGAATCGATATATACAGTGTGGAGATATAATGAATTGATAGGTACACACTGTATCTATCGATTCATGATATCTCCACCCTGTACCTATCAATTCACGATATCTCCATACTGTATCTATCAATGCATGATATCTCCACACTGTACCTATCAATTCACGATATCTTCACACTGTATCTATAGATTTAATATATCTCCACAATATATCTATCTATTAAATATCTCTCAAAACTGTATCTATCCATTCATGAAGGGGTAGATACAGTGTGGAGAGATCATGAATTGGTAGATACAGTGTGGAGCTATCATGAATGGATAGATACAGTGTGGAGATATCATGAATTGATAGATACATTTTGGAGATATCATGAATGGGTTGTTTCACAATGAAGAGAAAAATGCTCTGGTGGTTTCTCTTGATATTTGGTGTAAAGGATAATTTTTTCTTCTTTTTTTTTGGTGAAAAAATGCTTGTAGAGAAAAATACACAGAATGACAAAGAGCTTGGTAATGTATATATGACTAGTATGGTATGTACTCTAGCTGTCACCTTGATCCAAGGTTGATGGAGCAGACAGAGTACATATCAATGTTTTACTGTAGAATTATTTTCTACTAGTTGTAGTTTTAATTAAGTCCTGTTTACCATTGATGATGGGAATCTGTCACTCTTACCTCTAACATGTTTGTTCTGAATGTCTGTCTTTTGCACATTCCAAAGTTACACTTTAACCAAGTATGGCCATCTTTTCTGTATGGGTTACTTTAGTATTTCAAGTAATCTTTTGTAACATTTGAAGGATTTTCAAATGGTTCCACATTTAATGCAGGTGATTTTGGTTTTTTCCATGACTGGTGTTCTCTAATAACAGGTGGTCTACCATGACAGATGGTCTCTTATAACAGGTGGTCTGTCTTGACAGATGGTCTCTTATAACAGGTGGTCTGTCATGACAGATGGTCTCTTATAACAGGTGATCTGTCTTGACAGATGGTGTCTTATAACAGGTGGTCTCTAATGGCAGGTTATCTTTCATGATGGGTGTATCTTTTAAGAGGTATCTCAAGACATGTGGTCTCTTCTAAGAGGTTGTCTTTCATGGCAGGTATAAATCTCTCATGATGGTGGTCTCTTATGAAAGGTAAACTATCGTGACAGGTGGTTTCTCTTGATATTTGGTGTAAAGGGTAAATTTTCTTCTTTTTTTTGTGTGTGAAAAAATGCTTGTAGAGAAAAATACACAGAATGACAAAGAGCTTGGTAATGTATATATGACTATTATGGTATGTACTCTAGCTGTCACATTGATCCAAGGTTGATGAAGCAGACAGTACAATTTGTTTGTACAATTTATTAAAATATCACACATGATTAATTTTTACCAACTTGAAGAAAATGAATTGAGACAAAGGTCTTATTTCAGCAGTCACTACTTATAATACATGTATCTATAGGGCCTTATATTATTTAGATCATTCTTCAATATGCATGATGTATGGTTAATAACAAACAGACTTAATCAAAGAATTGTTATAAAAATAATTCTTCGTAGATCTGTGGATGGATGAAGGGAGATAACTCTATTAGATCTGTACGTCAATCCTTTTTCACAATGTTTTATTTAACAAGAATTAATAATTTCTCAGGTGCAAAAAAAATCTGTCAGGAATGGGGAAAACATTAAATAACAATGATAATTTTCTCTCTTCAAACTGGAAACAAGAGCATGGTGATCCCAGATTACTGTAAAGTGATTTAAACTCATATTATCAAATATCCCTCCAACAAAAACAAGAATAGTCTCCCACCTGAACTAAAGGACAGGACTGTAGGTTGGCACTCTGTCGGTCAGTCAGTCCAGATGTCGTTGTATCTTGGGAATATAATATATGGTATCACCCACAAATGCCAAATTTTGTATATCTGAGTAGCTCTTGAGATGACAGCTAGTGACAGCTGTTGCATACAGAAAAAAAGGTTCATAGTCTTTAAACAGATGTAGTGGAACAGGACTGGGTCGCTTGCAGGTGACCAGGTAGCCCAATAGGTAAGGCGTCCATCTAGAGTTTGGTGGGTCCCAGGTTCGAATCCAGGTCTGGTGATGGCTCCTTGTTCATTTTTGATTCCAAACTTTTTCATGATGTGGGGGACAATGACTTGCTCCCATTACTTTTTGCTTTGTTTTGATTGCTTTTCTAAAGCTTGAACACACATGTGATGTAAACTGTTTTTCTGGACTCCTTGATGAGTTTTGAGATGAGAAGAGTGTTTTATTTTCTAACCAGGGTAAAGGGTATGTGGATAAGTGAATGAATGAGTATGTTACATCTATGGTAAAATTTACGTTTAATGGTTCTTTCTTTTTTATTTTAGTATACAAAGAGCATGGCGATCCTACTCCAGGAGGAAGCGCATTGTTGACAGTGATTCAGACGACGACTCCATTGAGGAGCTTGAAGAACTTAAGATATTACATGATGGCAGTGAGAAGCAAAAGATGACCCAGACAAACCCGGACTGTTCACCCCAAAGTGAGGCTGTACATGTTGTCTTGGAGGATGCGTCTCAATCCGAGAGTCTTAATAAACGGGACTCATCAGAGGAGAAGGATTACTACATAGAAAAGCGTAGTTCCTCCGAGGATAAAGAGTATTCCCCAGGACCCCTGTTTACCTCCCCTGCCCACAGACTTGTTAGCAAAGTTCGCTATGAACACGATAGTGATTCACTATCATCAGACTATTCCGAGTTTTCCGCCCCACTTAAGGATCTAGCTGACAGTGAGGTCACCATTATACAGCGTCAACAGTTAGCGGAGGGCAATATTCAGCAATCTATGAGAACTACGTCGAGCAATGTGATAAGAAAACCCTTTGAGTCGGAAGAGGACTTTAGCAGACGTATCAGAAAACTTAATTTTTTAAGCATTGCACAGGAATTTGCTGAACTTAAAAAAGTGAATTGTGATATATTACCGTTTGACCTTCATAAAGGTCAACAGTTTTCTGAGAGTTCCTGCAGTGACACTAGCTCTGCCCCGGCTTCACAAATCTCTTCAGAAATGAATACTCCCAGTGATCCGTCGGATTCGTTTGTGCAACTCAATAATGGGGTAAACAATCTCATGTCAAAAGATCTTAATAGCAATATCAACAATGGCAATGTTGATGAGAGGGATAACAATTCGTTGTCGACGGCGACAAGACGCTCAAATACAACTAATGATAATCTTCCACCACATACTTCCACTACAGACACTTCCTCCACTGTCTCCACTGTCAGGGTGGCAAAACGCAGCAGAGATCTAGAAGAGGAAAATAGCAACAAGGGAGATAAGTCAGATGTGACTGATAGTGATAGGGGAGATAACCCTTACAATGATGAGGGTGAAGGTGATTTTGATGTGTACAACATAGAAACAGCCGTTCCGCAGATGAACTGGGAAATACTCGGACAACAGTTAGAACAAGTGACTTTGCATCAACAGTCTCTACAGCGACAACGACAGCAGCAAGCAGAACTACAGCAGCAACCAGAACAGAAACCTCGGGTAAGTCCTTAACCTTTTCAACACTGTAAACCATAATGGACTCATCCATATCAATGCATGGTTGAGTCGACTAAAGTTACACAGGGGTGGAAGGGTTAATATTTCACACTAACCCTGATATTGTCTTACATTCAAAGGAAAGCAATAATTAAGTTGGCTTTGCTTTCTTCCAGCTGGGGAAAATTGCTGGTGGTGAGAGAGGTCAGTGTCTAAAAAGTACTGGAATTCATTGTGTATTCCTTGAAGAGTGTAGGAATAATAATTATGTAAACTGGAAACTATTAAACTGTTTTCTTTTCAGGAAAGGCTGCATCAAAGTTTTAATGATGGACTGTTCAATTTTTTTATATAACAATTTGTCATAAAAGGTGAATAATTTGTTTAAATTTTGTGATATGATTTATTATATTACTATACATATGCTTAAAAAATCTTGATCCTGAATTTCTAGATTTCTAGAAACTAAGACCATAAAAAATGAAAAAAAAAAAAATGTTTGAAAAGTGCTTGAATTTTGTTCTGAAAAGTTTGTAAACTATTGTTCTGTTTCACAGCTACAAAACTGACTGTGTGATAGTGTGAAGGTATTAGTGGAAGTTTATAAGGTGATATGATTGTAACATATATACACCCGGTGTGCTTGTGATTGTCTGTTTTATGAAAGGATTTTCAAAATGAATCTAAAAGTAAAATGACATGTTTACAGACAAATCTACAGAATTACAGGACTACATTACTCTCAAGCTTGGAATGCAATTCACTCTCAATTACATGCTATCAGCAATTTTGTTAAAACCTGTACTATTCAAGAATATATGTTTGAAAACTCTTATAAACAATCAGAAAAAGATGTAATCAAAAAATTATAAAATTCTAAATATGTTTTTATATACAATTTCTACTAAAAAAAATCAGAATGGGCTTGATACTGTGACTGTGTAACAGTTAAGGGGAGTTAACTCTTCCCTCCCCGGCTTTTACACTACCGAGTATTATGATTTTGTGTATTGTAGGATATCGTAGCAAAACACTGACCATACTTGGCAGAAATGAAACATAGTCATGATCACAAGAGCTCTATTTTCTGCAGCTTTAATCAATATATGGATTCTGACCTGGCATGTTACGTCAGCACATCATACTCCCACAGTTTCCTCTATAGATATTCTGTCTTCAGGCATTTGGCCATCGATCTATAACAAAATTACTGCCCATCCTTATGAAGTAGTAATCAATAAATGTGATCGGTTTGTAACTCATTCCTGAATGCAGAATTTTTTCCTCAGGGCAGCGCAAATATATTTAGAGTCAACCATTTCAAAGCCATTCATTGTTATATTTTCTAGACCTGACAAAATATTTCACTGAATAGCTGATGAGTTTTCATATGGCTTATTCAGCGCTTTCTCATAAATATATACCAGATATGATGGCATATGGCTTCAAATGCACTTTGTATTGCAAGGAATTAACTTAACATTTACATGCATGTCATTGTTAAATTGAATACAATGCAATTGAAATAAATCAAAGAAAATAACCAGATCGAAAGTATTATGCATGATATTACAAACATTTGGATTTGGACATATTTATATACCATAAGTGGAATATACTGGTGTGATATAATTGAGCAAGGGAGATAACTCTGTATTGATCCTCCATCATCTGATCAAAGGAATGCTGCCGTTTTTGTTGAGAGATTAGATCTGTCTACATGTCTATGTTTAATTGTCTGGCCTGTCAGCATCTGTATCTCCCAATCAGGGCTACAGCTTCTTTAATTGGCTCCTTCTTTGTTAGAAAAAAACACCTTCAAACCTGTAGATACCTTCATCATCCGAGAAAAAATAAAATCAGGATTTTTTTTATATATATTCTAATCACAGATCAATGGGGAAAACGTAAGGTTTAGCTTCATTGTGTATGAGAGATCTGTAGGAACTGCTTAAGATTTTGTGGCATCGATTCTCGATGATTAGGTTGGGACTGAACATAACTTTTCTATTATGTCATTAAAATATACAGGAGAATACCGACAGAGGAGAGAAAATTATACCCAATGACTATACATGTAAGTCTACTCTACTGGTTCGGTATGGTATGGGTCGTTCCTCAGGGACAAGTATTGTAGCTGATGGGGAGTAATTCCGGGACTAATGAAGTCAGGTCCAGATAAACCCAGTATATAGATAATCAGCGGGAAAGTGGATCAGCCCTACGGCCTAGTAATGGAGGGGCAGGTCTCTGTACAGTCACAGACATTAGCCCGGCTCTCCACAGCCTAATAGGGGGGATGCTAGCAGGCTATTTATACTCTACTGCCCATTAGTGGTGAGGATATAGGGCCGATCTGTTTAGGGACAATCCTACTTGATGGGAAGGTGATTTGTAGCATGGATTTTATCTGGATAGAGACTAGGAAGTAATGGTTTCTCCCTTTATGGAACGTGTTTTACAGGTGAGAGTTTATGTTGTGTTCATGTTGTAGCTGTAGAGGTGTCCGATTTAGGTTGACATAAAGGGGTGATAACTCTGATGTCTGTTGATGTGGATTACACACAAATTTAAAATTTACTCGTAAACTGTTTCATCTAAAAGCTGAATATATCTTTGTCACATCTTCAATGGACAACTGCTGTAGCAAATACGTGTCAACTTAGATGATGTTCTGTTACTGATAAGAATTTAGCCACACTCAGTATTTCAGCAAAACAATTCTGGTCTCTTGTTTTTGTCTAAACAACAATGATAAGCAGAATAAAGAAAAAACAATGTCAAATTAAATACAGTGAAAAAAATGAAATTACTTTCAATATGTCAAAAAATCAAAATAAAATAATATAAATGTTAAGGTCTGAGTTAAAAGAGAGCTGTATTTATATTAAGCAACAATGCATGTTTAGCTATCCATTTCCTGTTGCAGGAACAGGTGTTTTATTACCTCATTTTTGACAATTTCATGTCACTGACTACAACAAACAATGTGTAATTGTCCTTAAAATTTAAGTATTAATGCATGATATCCAACATTAGATAAATTTGGCCACTTTTGCAATTGACATCGTCAAAAATAATCGTTGTGTCCATAATGATGACAGTTTCACAGATGCATTAATCATCCCATGGTATTTCCCAGAGAGGGAAATAGTTTTCCCTGACCGGGCTATAGTCTTTGAACTATTCACTGGTTGGAGTGCAATAGATGAAAATACTGGAATAATCAAAACTATTCACTATATACTAAAAAAAAAAATTGACATCATGTAATTACAAACTGTATCTTACCCAACTCGGTCCAATATATAGGAATGGTCTGTTATCAAACTGGACTTGTCCAAGTACCGTTTGGTCGGTGTGTGCGTGTTACTAGTTAGTTGTATTGATAGCTTCTTTTCTTTCTATAAGAATACTGAACCCCTGATGTTCCTCGTATAGTGTTATAAGATATAAACTATCTCACGTTTCTTTAAATTTTGACAGTAAGTTCAAACTGCCGGTGCAAAGTGTTGCATAAATATACACTCGCACGAAATCTCACACAACTGTTTTCCCTTGACAGAAAATGTTTCCTGACAAAAATTGTTGGTGAATAAGTTCAGAAAACTTATCAATTCACTCAGAATATTTATTTAGCATCAAATTGTGAAGAAATTTAATTGAATATCCTTGGGGTTGAAGTGTCGGAGTGTTCTCTGATGGGTGTAGTTACATATTTAGAACCCTACTTGTCAGTAGGGTATACTTTAGCTTATTGATTTTTGTCTGTGTTTATTTTGCCAGAACAATAGGAACAGTAATCAATACTAAAGCAAAAAACTGCTACATTCCAGGCAGGCTGTTGTGGTGTGATTGCTTTATACAAATGTATATAATGCTGGTATATATTTTCTTCACTTTTCAATACAAAAATTTGAAAAGATGGAGTTTAAAGCCTATAAATTCCATAGTTTGTGAACAGTTTGCATATTTTGGATAGCTAGGTTAGCTATCATCAGATTCGGCTAGCTGAGATTTTGATGGACAGAAATCATCGCAAACCAATTGAAATGGTCCTCATACCACTGCTAAAAATTGTGACTTTGCTATTTGGATAGCTGTTTTTCGATATGACTATATAGCTTAAGTTTGATAAATCAATTATAAAAAGATACTCATACATAATGCGGGACTTTTATCAATCATATTAAAGATGGAAACAACATCAAAACCGACGTGTTAACAACAGCATTCCGGGTTTAAAAATTCAAAGTTGTCAGACCAGAATTTGAACCCTTGACCTTCAATCATTATACTGTTGCCCTAACCAGCAAGCACTCTGGCCCAGTCCACTACAGTTATATATCCAAAACAAAATTAAGGGGAGGTTACTGAATGCACAAAAAACTACCATGGCATTTTCTAACATTTTGCTTGCTGTGAGACAGGAATCATGAAGGCTAGCTATGCTACCTTACTATGATTTGTATCTCCTTTCCAACAAGAGGCCCATGCTAAAGAAATGTGTAAAATATCTCTTGATTGTTTAATCGAACTTACGTGGCACAAGAAATATGCTTAGACAGTTCTGAATTTGAAAGATATTGGTACTGAAAACTTTCAAGGGAAAAAGTAAAATTTGCAACTTTTTAAATAAGCAGTTGTATAATTCTTTAAATCTTCCTCTTTGCTCAGAACCAATTCATACTGGTTTCCTAGACATTTTATGCTATTATTTTGTCAAATAGGGGTCAATGTATAATGTAAGTAGTTTTTTGAGATTTTCAGACTTTGCCCATTGGTTTCTCCCTCAAGAAAAGTTTGAAATTAGGCTGACAAGTATGATTTAACACATTAACATGTTTAAAAAGATTTAAGTAGCAAATAGTTGTCAGTGCATGGCTAACCACGGAAAGTTTATGTGACAAATGAATTATCTGTCGAAGACTCCATGCTTCTGTAATCCAAAAACCGGAAGCCAACAATGATCAGATGTTTTATCTTGCCATCGATTATACATT